ATTTGCATCTCCTCAACTTGACTCAAGACCGTCTTCGAATCCACCATTTTAAAATCAAGGAATCGACCAACAACAAATTTCTTTGCGCCGGCATCCTCGCTTTTATATTTGTGGTCCAAAGCATTCCATAGCTCCTTAGCCGTAGCTAATTTGCTATATACGTCGTACAAAGCATCATGCAGCCCGTTCAACACATAGTTTCGGCAAAGGAAGTCAGAATGCTTCCAAGCCTCAACCGCGTTGAGAGATTGCACATCTACCTCACTCCCGGCTACAACCGGCGCGTCCTCGGTCAAGAAACGTGCAAGACCGAGAGTAGTGAGATAGAAGAGCATCTTTTGCTGCCACCTCTTGAAGTTTAACCCGTTAAATTTATCGGGTTTCTCCACAGAGTTGCTTGGCACGGTAACCATAGGGATAGCCCTTTGGTTCAAAGCAGATGCTCCGCGTTGTGAACTATTGTTCACCGGAGCTCCGCTTTCAGAGTGATTGTCGTTCAGAACATTCTGCCCAACACCAATCTCGTTTTCTTGAGAAGTCATTTTCGTTTTCTTAACGTTTTTTCTGAAAGCACAAAAAATTAAGTTCGTTCACGAAAGTGACAAACTACGTTTTTAAGATTGTACCCGTATGGTACAAGCTTAAGCAAACAAATACGTTTTAAGATTGTTGGGTGTGTTTCGGAAAACAAAGAAAATTAATTAAAATAAATTAATTAATAAAATGACAAAAGAAAACAGAAATGAGATGAAGCAGAAATTTGTCAAAGCTCGTGCTACGCACGATGTCCTTAAAACGTATTTGTTGCCTCCCACGGTGCTAGGAGCGTTGCAACAATAGTTTCCCAGGATACGATGACAACGAACTAATGTTTGAGCACACAAACAAGAGTTCCAACGAACGAGAACAAAAGCTGAACACAAAGGGAATTTTCGGAATGCTGGAGGTGTATTTGAGCTAGAAAACATGTGAAGTTCGTATTGTGTGTTATTGTTTTTTTTGTTGCAAACCACCTGCAGCCATTTATAGGGAAGATTTGTTGTGTGTTTAATGGAGGTTTAATGGATATGAACGTTGGTAATCAATGTCCAGCACGTTGGCATTGATTCTAGTCCAAAAAACCGTCCATTTATTGCAAAGGAACGTTGGGCATTTATGGAGTTGTAACGTCCCAGCAGTGGGCTGCGGCAGACGTCTCAGCAGCAGGCTGCTACGGACTGTCCTGCCGGCAGCAGGCTGCTGCCGACTATCCTGCCGGCAGTGGGCTGCTAGAGCAGCTGGCTGCTACCCCATTTCAACGGGCAAACTTCGAAAATCGATATTTCATTCACCCGTTATCCGTTTTGAGTGTACCACGTATCGAATTGTAGCCCTTAACAAGGACAATCCGAAACCACTTTGACCCGACCCGAATCGGAAGTGGACCCCACTCAAAAAATTGCCCCAAAATGACCATTTAATGCAATTTACTAACACATTTTCCAACATTTTTTACCATGGATGGAGTCTTGGAGAAGAAAGAGAACCGATGACTGATGCAGCAGAGGGGTTCAGCGGATGAAGGAGGGGTATTTTGGTTTTTTTTTTTGAAATCTTTAGCCTAATAACTATCTCTAAAGTTGCAAATATTTACTAAAAACCCAAGAAGCAATTAAAAGCATCAATGTGGCTGCTTTTGGCTTTAAGTTGCTTAAATTTAAGCTGAAATGTGCATATGCAAACACCCCTTTTGGCTTTTTTTAAACAAAAAAGCTAAAAATTAAAGTGCTTTTGAGTTGTGTTTGCAAACACACCCATAGTGCTTGAGAGTTGGGAAAACGTTTTGTCTATTAGACTATTACAACCCTAACTTAAAACTTACCAATATCTTCTACTCCCTCCATCCATTTTGGGTGCCCTCATATAAAATTTGTTAATGAGTTAAATCATTAAAGTCCTCTTCCGTTAATTTTACTTTTGAACGTGAGGAAGTGATACAATTACATAGTATAAACATAAAAAGAGAATTTCCTAAATAAGAGTAACGTTTTGAAATTTCAAAATAGGAGTATCATGTTTTTTATTCCTTAAATAAGAGTAAATTTCTGCGAAGTTTAGCATTACAAGGCTTTAAACATCACATTTTTTCCAAAATTCAAACTTGACAGATTACTCCTATTCAATGAATAAAAAACATGATACTCCTATTTCGGAATTTTAAAACGTTTTTACTCCTATTTAGGACAATTTTTGAAAGATAATTAGTGTTTAATTTATATTGAGTTTATAAAATATGAATAGGCGGCGAAACAAAATACTGCTAAGAATGATGGAAATAAGGTTATGAGGAATAGTGTATGGACCGTATGAGGAATAGTGTATGGACATATTCAGGGAGACGTAAGAAAGAATATAGGGAGTACTCCATATTATATAGGGAGTACATCTCACACCATTTAGGGAGATGTGGTCACCAAATGTGAGGTCATAAATGATAAGACGCTCAAGTTACTTGTCAAACCGTTTAGATACGTCCATGCTCATTAGAGTGGATATCTCTCTTCGACTTACGGATGACTTGGATAGGAAGGGCCTAACTTTCACCGACCATTGTCTTGAGAGGTTGCCGGGGATTACTAAGAAGAAATGAGAGGTTTGCTTTAACTCAAAGTTCACTACTCCTTTCCGTGCTTTCTTTGGATGTTAAATTAGGGATACCTAATATTTTGGTGAGCTAGTTTGTTGATTTTATTTTGCTCCTAATGTTTTTAGGTTCAAATTGTTGACTTTTGAGGATTTCTATCTTGATGTTGTGGTATTCCATGTTTCGGGATATGCACTTTGCATGTAACATTGACTTGTTATTTCTTTGGGTGTTAATATATACTTACATTTCCCAGGATACGATTATATTATTACGATTAGGACACATATTATATGGATAAGCATGCTAGCACCACACTAGGTCACTAGTAGTAGTGTAGTACATTATACATACATTTATTTTCATACACCTCGTTAATTACAACATTATTATTACTGAAAATGACACACCAAGATCATATGATCTATTATTTTGGAAAATGGCCTGAAATGAAATTTGCATCGTCACTCAACTAGGCCCTTATTCTTACTCATCATCACAATCATCAATGTTTCCTATCTCTCACCAAGTTTTGAGCAAACCAGCAACATACTCAAATTGTTGAAATTAGTAAAGTTGAACTGCTGAATCTCCAAAGTAATGAATTGATTATAGCCCCACACACACACACATATTTGATTAATAAATTAAAGAAATAGTCATATATGTTAATAGTTAAAATTTTCTATCTTCAACCAATTCTGTTATGTAAGTGTTTATTGTACTTAGTCTAATTATTACATTATTACCATTTTAAAAATAGTGTTGGATAAAGTGAACTTTTGTTTTTATCAAATAAGTGAGTATATATCTTTTTTTAAAAAAAAAAAGAGAGAGAAAAAGTGGTGGATAGTGATATGTACAATTATGTACTTCCGCTAAAATTGTCACATCTTTCCTCTTTCGATCGATTTGTCTAATTAAGATTTTTTCATATCAAATTTGGTAAAATTTGTATGGTTCTAAATCATTTTTACTTTCTTACTTTATGAATTTAATAACAACCACATAACCTCACTTTTCTTATTGTCATTGGTTGATGATAAATCATGCTAGACTAGTCTGTAGCGCTCTATGTCTAATCAGGGCCGGCCCAGGCCAAGTGCTGGCAGTGCGACCGCACAGGGCCCGTGAATTTTAAGGGCCCAAATTTCAATAGTCCGCCTATTATTATCAACTAACAGAGCCCAATAACATAAGATAGATCCTTCAATGAAAAAGAAAACGCCTGGTGGTTTCGAACCTTGACAAATTTGTTACACATAGGGATGGTGAACCAATCAACCAACTCAACCATCTGGTGGATGCGTGCTTCCGTCCAATTTGCTTTTGTATACCATTCAACTATTGATATACTCCAACTAAAATTAATGATATTAATTTGTAATCATAATAATAACTATTTTTATTGCATGCCATTATTAAATTTAAAAACTATTACATATGTATGAAATATTCTTTACATCTATCAATTATATTTATATTTTTTATATATATATTTTCTTTGACAAATTATCCATTTAATTCCAAAGAGTCAAACACTTCTTCAATTTATGAGTTATATTTTAGATAATGATGCACTAATTTTCAATTTAATCTGCTTGTAACCATTATTAAATTTTGAATGAGAGTTATAATATCTTCTATTTCTCAATATGGAGTAATAATCTTATTTCTTATATTTTGTAGTTCTTATATTATTCTTTTTTGGGTTTTAATTTTGAGTTTGAATGATTTAGTACATACTGTAGATAATTATATTTGGATGGTTTGTAATAATTGAACTTGGCAAATTACCATGTTCAGGTATTAGATTATTAGTCTATTAATTTATAATTTAATTTAACAAATAAATGAAGATTATTTTGTTAAGGAGTACTTTTATTTTAACTATTATGTTAGTGAATAACTTGTAATTTGATATAAATTATTACTGTAACAAATTATTACCAATACAATCTTCACTTGTATATATTTTTACCTATTTTAGGAAAAGGCCTACATTTTATTTTTGCACAGGGTCCATATTTTCTCAGGACCGGCCCTGTGTCTAATATGTGTTCATTATGCACATAATTCCCACACTTCTACTATTAAAATCTAAATTATAAAAGATGTAAATTTATCTCAAATATAAAATTTCAGTTTTTTCATTTGTTATTAGGATCCACGCACTCAAATGCTATGTATATGAAGAGCCCTTTTGCTAACACTGAAAACGGTAGTTCCTGTTGATATTTATGAAGTTCTGACTCAAGTGTATGTATTGACTGATTCTGCAAACTTATGAAAAAATTATATATAAAATAATCCGTACATTTTAGTAATAAAATAAATAAAAATATATATTAAAAAATAGCTAAAATGACAATCTACGGTAACTTCAGCCAATACAGCCAGGAAAGTAAATTCAATCTTACTTTTTTTATCATGACACAATTCAGCGTGTGAAATCAAAAGTTACGTGTTTGGTGAAAAAGTTAGCTAATAAACCTGATAAGCCAAAAAACATGCTCACCAAACGGGATGGAAAGGTTAAAGTCATCCGTTAGACAACGTGAAATAAAAAATGTTGTCACTAAATTAAATGAGAACTTGATGCTTACGAAATGAGAGCCTCTTCATTTGTGAGCTCAAGAGGGTTGGAAGTGGTCGGACCAGAAACAGGATCCTTGAGCAGATCATTAGCAAACTGTTCCAACTTTTGTAGATAGGCTTTGCTAGAGTCATCGACCAGACATTCATCGTACTTCATCCCTTGGTATTGGATTCTAAGGAAGTTTTCGGGGCCGGCGGAAGCGGTTCCGCCGCCAAACAGCAGAGAGGTGTAAGCGTCCACCATGCTCTCATTGCCACCCATGAAAACGTCGGTGATACGAGGAGTGTTGTCCGGAAACAACAACCACCTGACGGCGCCCCAACTATTGGCATCGCCCACTTCAGCCATTTGAGTGCCTGTGCATGATCCCGTCCCCAATGACAGGATCCTGAAATTTTCAGGCAACGGCCGGACATTATAAGCCTTTGCTGCTTCCAGTATAGCCACTAGCACCTGATTGATCATTGAAGGGAGCTTCTCAATTCATTAATATGCTCATCATATCATTCTCCTTTTTCTAAAAAAACAAATCATTAATATTCAACTAATTAAGATTGTTTCATATCATTCTTCTTTGCCTCATCATATACATTTTCATTTTTTTTCATTCTCATTTTTCTACATATATGTTCTCCGGTGATAATTGATAATACTACCTCCTTCTAAAAAATATCTATAAAGTTGCAAAATCCAAATTAGAATTTAATTAAAAATAGATATTCTATAATTGAATAAAATGAATCTCTTTGACCAAAAAGTCAATTTTGCAACTCTGTTTGAAATGAATGGAGTATTAAAACAACATCTTCAACTAGTGTGACAGTGAAAACATAAATGTGAACGTTCAAGCTCGCGATTAAACTAATATTTAACGACGTCTTAAATATTGATATTGTTGCCTTTTAGTTACCTTAACTTTTAAATGAACCAAATTATTACTATAACTACACATAAATGTTTAAACTGACAATATTATTCAAATTTTTGTCCAAAAAAACTTACGTGGTGGTCGAAAATCCATGTGTAAGTCCACTTTACATTACTTTTGTCCATTTAATCACTATATGGTTGGACTCTATGCATGGAATGTTGGCTGCCACACACTCGCGATTTCGGAATGTAAGTTTTGAGTGTTCAATACTTTCTTAGAACTACAAACTCAAAGAGTAATAAATAATTATACCAAATTTACACATACATACCAGCATATTTTTCAGAAATTTAGGTGTTCATGTGATATTGTGAACCCTTTTGAACATGAGTGGCTCCACCTCTTCCGCCACATAAGATTTTTTTGCTAGAAATTTGAATAATATTGTCGGTTGAAACATTTATGTATTATTATGGTACAAACATATTTCATTTAAAAGTTAAGGTATCAAAATTCAACAATACCAACAATTAAGGTATCATTTATGTATTGTACCCCCTAATCAGCAATATATGTTTCATTGTATTTTGCACATAATGATTTTTATTATTTTTGTATAATAAAATTCTTATAATCCATAATAACGCGGGCGATATTCCGTACCGGATTATTGGCGGCAACTCCGCCATCGACAAGGTTGAACTTCTCAATCCCTTGAGACGATTGCAACTCAAAGCTATGAGGAGGCAAGTAAATTGGTGCTGCTGACGTGGCAATGCAAACATCTACGAGTTTTGGGTTCTTTGACGCCTCCTTCCTTGCCTACAGTTTAGTTCAATTCAATTGATTTAATTAAAAGAACTAGTCAACTAGCCACATGAGGTCTCTCTCATTCCATGTTTGAGAATGCTTTAAATTATGTGCAAAGGGTGTAGCCAAAACATTCATCATTTCATTTTCATTTACCTCACTGCCACAAAGGCTCCCACCTACGGTGGTGTAGCGAAAACATTATCTTAAAAAAACTTTGTACACCACTAGGGTCGATATTAAAAAAAGTGGACACTCCATTCTTGAGGGCCCCAAAGTCGATATTCAAGAACACTAGCTACAAAATGAGAACAATCATGAATTGAAGTTATGACCTGAAAAGAGGAGAAGATGACAGGTTTCAAGCGATGAACGTCATAAGTTGGGATGACAACGTTTAGTGAGGGTTTGGTTAAGCTTAATGTCTTTAACCATTTCTTTGATCTTGGCATGCAAGTAAGCACCATCATACATTGGACGAAAACCCATTTTCTCAATGAACTCAATGACATACCACACACTAGACCCTAGTTTCTTGAACCAACCCCAAATATCTGGAAATCCAAACAACCTGCACAGATATTACATCTAATAATTAATACGAAATAATTTCTAATATATGATCAAAGTAAAAATAATGGATAAAATTTCACTTAGTTACATTTTTTACTATAATTATGTTCACAATTTAATGATTTATACACAGTAACTATGACGGTGTTTGGCAATGATTATTATTCACTTATTTGATAGCCGATTGTATCAAGATTGATACCCACAGATTGTGTCCTGTTTGGGACGGTAGCTAGGAATGGGGATGACTATTACGGTATTATATTAACGTATTACCTATCATGCGGATTGAAGTTTTGAAGTTATTTAGCTGTTTAGGATTGGTGTATATATGCGCATGTGTAACTTTTGAAATTTTCATTCTTTTGATAACTCTTCAAAATAGTTTTAAAAGTACATTTACTACTATTATTATATAAGAAAAATTGTCTGATCCCCATACTTTCACGAAAAAATCAATCCGATACCCCGAACTTTATAAAAACGTTCAATTGAGTACGTCCATTTGCAAGTTACTTGTCATGTCAGCACGCCATCCGCTGACGTGAAAAATCATTTACCAAATACCAAAAACCGTGTGAAAATACATACGTAGTAAATAGTTTTGTTCTCTAGTTCTAATTGAGAACAAACTATAATTCATATTTTGAGAATAAAACATGATACTCTGTATTAATTAATTATATATATTTGGTAAATTTGTCCATTTTTACTCTTGTTTCAAGGAATTTCTATCATTCAATTCAGAACAACACACACATATACGGGAGTACATGATATAAGTAGTATATAATTAATTAAGTTGTTTATTTTAATGAACCACATTTGTGTGTGTGTCGGTGAGGAGGCATAAGAGCATCTCCAATGGTTAGCTAATTACCTTTGTAGCTTGAATAACCATATAAGCATTTGCACCAAAATTAAAATTTACTCCAATGGTTAGCTATGTCATCTTCCTCTTCATTTATTATTAATAATGTTATATTTTGGGTAATTAGCTTTCTCAAGCAAAAAGTTAAAGCAATGCTCAAATGGTAAGCTATTAGCTTTAAAATTGAAAGCAAGTACACAAAATGAACCATTGGAGATGCTCTTGTACAATCATCGCAATGAAAATGAAAAAAGAATTAAATTAGGTGATCCTTACTTCAAATTACTTACGTATTGGCATTCGCTATGGGCATCTGAAGCGGGCCGCGGCGCTGAATGAGGGAGGCGTTGCTTGTAAAAGTCGGGGATATCTTCTTCTGAGAACTGGGGCAACTCAAAGTTGGGGTTTTCCACAGTAGCAGCAGTAACATCAGAAACGTTTGTGGTGAGCAAGGAAGTGACCAGGCTTTGGGTGCTGGCAGTTTTGGTTTTGGATTCTTTTTTGAAGATGTTAGGACACTCTTTCATGTAAAAGGGGGGAATATCAGCTGCGGCAAATAGCGGGAGGCCATTATCTCCGGGCGTGGTCAGCATTGCCGTCACAAGCCCGCCGGTGCTGGTTCCTGCTATCACATCAAAGTAGTCTGCAATCCTCGCCTTTGGGTTCCCCTCAATTTTCTATTCATCATAATATCAATTATGAGTATTAGTTTTTGAACATATGATAAGAAGTTCTTTAAAAAGCTTTCCACTTTGTTTTTGTGTGTGTTCCAATTACTAAAAATTTAAATTACTCCGCATTTGATAAATAATTTTCTGCCAATTTACTCTAGTTTGATTAATAATGACAGTAAAGTAAAAAAATAACTAGTATTATATTACGTAGTATACTACAAAATTTATAGAAATTGCTCAGAATAGGAGTATAAACGTTTTGAAATTCCAAAATAGGACTTCCATGTTTTTATTCCCTAAATATGGGTAATTCTGCCAAACTTAGCATTATCAGGATTTAAAGATGACAGTTATGTGAAGCTTTTTTCAAACATGGCAAAAGCTTGACATAAACTGTCATGTTTAAAGCCCGATAATGTCAAAATTGGCAGAAATTAATCCTATTTAGGCAAGAAAAAACATGACAATCTTATTTTGGAATTTCAATTTTTTTTTTACTCCTATTTAAGGAATTTTCTCTAAAATTTACCTTATCGAAAGAAAAAAATTAAAACTTCCATGCTATTCAAACCGGGAGGGATGTTAAAGAGGAATATATAGATGGAGAATTAAATAGGTGTATTATATGTACAATCATTCTTGGTG